TTGTGGAACACAAAACTTCTACCTGGTGGCGATGCAAACCTACACCTTTGTAAGATGAATATACAGTACACTCTCGAACATGTCGACATGGTCGAAATGTTGCTCGAGAGTCTGCCTGAGCTAGCGGAGTTTGAGAATTTGAAGTCGTCAGTTCGCTATGAAGCCGATACTAGTGTCTACACACCCACCAAGGTCCGTGAACTCATAAGAGCAGCAGCATCACGTCAGACTGAGTTTCACAGTAAGCGTGGGACTGGAACGGGGCAGAATATGGGACAGAAAAGCGCTGGAAACAAAGCTGGTGCTAAAGGGAAGCCCGAAAATCAGCAACAGCAGAAGCTTACTTTTGGGTCCAAAGGATCTAAGGAGGGTAGGAAGTGCTACGCGTGTGGTAGTGGAGATCATATCAGAGCTAACTGCCCACAGAAGACGAAACAGAACACCATCAATGCAGGAGACAATGACCAGAGCAGAAACAGTGAGGTCTCTGTACGCTCCGACGCACAAACACAGTTGCCAAGATGTCATGTCATGACGTGAGTTCAGGACAAGGAGTAGTGACTGGTGCGCTGGATACGGAGCCCAACTCGATTTCAAGTGTTGATTTAAGTGGTCAAGCTCTGGGTGTGACAGAAAAAGAGTGTGACGCTGTCGAGGACAGTAACGTTAATTGGTGGTATTTTGATACGGCGTCCAACGCCCATGTGACCGGAAACCGCGCTCAGTACGTGAGTTTCACTGAAGATACAACAACCAGCCAAAGTGTGCACGGTGTCACAATGAACTTAGCATCCAAGATTGCCGGAGTTGGAACTGTTGCTGTGAAAACGTGGATGGATGGTGAGGAGAAGGTGTTCCATATCGAAGATGTATGCTACGTCCCAGAAGCGGAGTATGGATTGTTCTCACCTGGACTTGCCCTTAAACAAGGATTCGATTTCAAACAAGAGCATGCGACAATGAACTTTAGAGTACTGCTGTGAGGCGAAGAGGTGGCAGTCGCTACACCTCATGACTCAACGTGGGGCTTCATTACCGAGTGTACGGCGTCAAATGAGCAGGCGGAGCGTTCTGACCCACCAATATGCAACTTCACTGCAGCTGAAGGTATGGCTCCATTGAAAACGTGGCATGAGAGACTAGGTCATACGTGTCCTCAGTACCTGAAGACCATGATTGATCAAGGACTCGTCCAAGGAATGATGCTTAGTCAAAGACAACCGGCATGTGACGCCTGTCACGTTGGCAAGCAGAACCAATCACGTCCCAGGAAGAAGCTCAACCGCAAAACACGAGTGCCGAATCAATTAGTCTACGCAGACCTACTGATACCAAGTGAGGGTAATGGTACTCACTATGAAGCGGTTCTGATTATCATGGACGGACACTCAAGGTTGTCACGATGCACCTGGTAAAGAGCAAGGCGGCTGAGGTGGTAAACGTTCACATCAAGGAGTACGTGGCTTGGGCGGAACGTCAAGCTCGACGTAGCCAAGCTGACGGTGAAGCAAAGACCAAGTACCCCGTTCGACAAACTCTAACGGACAAAGGTGGTGAGTTCGTAAACTCGATGATAGCAAGCTGGTACGCGAGCAAAGGCATCGAGCACGTAAAAGTGGGACCGAAAAGCTCTCAGCTGAACCTGTGTGGGCGCACCACCAGTCGATCGTGGAAATGACCAAGTCAATGATGCATCATGCAGGCTTCCCACGGTCATTGTGGCCTGAAGCCCTTCGAAACGCTATCTACGTGAAGAA